CATCCAACGCAAAGAGTCGAATCGAACAGTAGAACCCTTTCCACCCTTCCCCAAGGTCTTAGGTACAAGGCCCCGGGCATCATAGAACCTCTGCACGCCACTGCCCACCCCCCTTAACAAATCTTAATGAACTGGTTATCTTCTGTGCTGGCTTTAATAACAAAATAAATGGAAAGTAATGGTTCTTTGAGGTTTCACGGACCTGGAGAGTTTCATTTCTAAACTTTAGGAACCACTTATGTGGGTGATAATAGTTCAGATAGCGCTGAATAAAATCGTCATTTTACGTCACTGCCAAATATAATAAACATCTGGTTTTATAAATAACTCGAGCTATGAACGACGTGTAGAGGGGCATTACAAGGATGTTAATGTTTGGAATTTCCCCTTTCCCTCACTATCAAATACGTTTTGTAGTTGACATGAAAGGATAAATGAAACGTCTGATTGAAGTCGGTTAGGAAACATCCCTGTCATCACGTTACGTTGCTAAGGGCAACCGTTCGACCTTATCCCTTAAATGTTCATTCGGCAGACAGATCGATCGTGAGTGTCTGGTGTGATGTATATTTGTAACTTAAGTTTTGAAATCTTGAAAAACACGGCTTGTTTCAGAATGGTGCGTGTTTAATAATCACATACAATAAAGTGCAGTTTAATCATAAGCTAGACTTGTCCAATAATTTCTAGGTTAGTACAACAGTTCTTAAACTTTGTGACATCATACCGAATTATATCGTGATCTTGGATACAAGTCAACCACTTAGCAACACGTATCAGTTGGACTGGTTGCCAAAGTTTTATAGTCAAGCTATTAGGCCTCGATGGGAGACTGTGGTTGATTTATTTGAGTAAATATACTAAAGAAGATCTTGGGCCTTTTTGGTGGAACTGATTACTTATTCAGTTAGAATCTTTCCTTGTCTTTTAACCTTGCTTCAATGTGATTGTCTATTGTAGTATCTTCTATTAAAAAAAAATAACATCACCAGTCCATGTAAAGATAACGAATTAATTCAGTTCTTCAATAACGTTTAATATAGACTATAGCTAAGTTCACTTGTAGGCCTAAATCTACAAACAACGTTTCAACGGAAATTCTCACGATTAATGGTACGTACGCTTAACTCGCAAATAAACTTACTTGCATAATTCCTCGTTAATGGATCGATAACTCTGTGTGTGTGTGTATTTTCTTATAGCGAAGCCACATCGGGCTATCTGCTGTGTCCACCGAGAAGAATCGAACCCCTGATATTAGCATTGTAAATCCGAAGACTTAGCGCTGTCCCACCGGGTAACGGATCAATAACAATTATGTTAACTCACTGATTATTGTTCACTTATTCTGCCATTTATATCATCCATTTCCTACTGCAGTGCTCCAGATAACTTTTGTTATTATCAGTGGGCACCGATCAAATGTATTCTATCGGTATTAAATGTTGTCCGTAATTCAATATCATGAACAAGCGTCTGTATGCTGGTTTACGTAATGATTGAATAATTTATAAGAATTTCAATCTGTTAATATTGAGTGTTTGGCTGCAAAAAACAACACAGACGTACGAGGCAGGTGGTGATAGCTTGTCCTAACTTGCAATACATACGGCTGAAACGAGGCAGGTGGTGATAGCTTGTCCTAGCTTGCAATACATACGGCTAAAGTTAGATGCAGAAAAATGGTGATTTGGGGCAATTTTTACCTTCATTCGGGGAAAAATTGTTCAGCCCCCCCTTCAGAAAAATCCCCGTACGCCTATGTTTTACACATTTATTTCTGAGTTTTAATTCTGTGTATGGTTGTGAAAGCCTCGCCCCTTTTCTGTTCTTAGCACTGTCCCACATACGGCAGAATAAAAACAAAACCGAAAACGTTTAATAAAAGTAAAGGTTTAAACTAAATACAAGTAATTTCGCGGTAAATACAGAAGAGGAAAGAACTGATAATCAACTTCGTGTTTTCCAACCATTCTTTTTATTATTCTTGGTTGATGTCTGTAATAATCATGAAATTAAGTACGTTGTTTGTATAGAGAAATCTACAGATTAAATAAAACAATGTTACAAACAAACTTGATTTTAAATTCGATGACGAGGAACCCACTTTGAGACTAATCCATGACATCAACCCACAGACTTTTATTACAGGCAACTACAACAAAATGTGGTTTCCCGAAGTTCCCAAAAACTAACTTTTTGAAAGAATTCTCAAACAAGACTGTTAATATAGTCAACCAATCCCGTAAACTGTAAAGTAACTTCAC